AAGGCGTTTACTATAATACCATGATTTCAATACTAAAGTACAAATATGTTTTCTTTATTTACCATAAAGAATGGATAAAGAGAAGAAGTAATGTTTTTCTTCCTGCTCTGTTAAGAACTTGTTTACATCGTATTAAATACCATTTCTAATGGGATAGAGAATTAGCTTTAAAGAAAACATACCTAGCAAAATCGAATTTTCTTAGATGACTCTGACTAGAAATTTCCAAAGCAGCCTGTTTAGAAATGAAATCATCCAACTTAGTGCTTGGATACCACTCTCCACTGAGAAGACCTTTTATTTTTCTGGGGAACAGTATGGCCCATTTCATAGAAGACAGAATTTAGAGGATATTGCGTGGAAAGTTATATTTTTAAAGTACTGTGATTTTTTTTTTTGGAAGAGAGACTTTAAAAGGACCTAACATCTTAATATTCTCCTTCCCAGGTAATGTATACTTGAATAGACTCTCTTTAAATTTTCTTATTTAAACTTTAATCCTACATTTTGTTCTTAGAATTGATTCAGTTAATTTGTGACTAGAGTCATAGAAAGCCAGCCTGCTCCAGAGCTAAAGTGATGGTAGGAAAGAGAGAAAGACCATTTTTTTTAGGTAGCTTTTCCCCCAGATCGTGTCTACCTTTATGAGATTATGTCTAAAATCACCTTGTAGTCTTACACCCTAAAAAAGATCAATTAGTTCCAAAATAATGATGCTAATCAAGAAATTCATTCAAATTTATTTATTCTCATTTACTTAGTATCATTTCACTGCAGGCCACAGTTCAGAGAAAACTTTCTTTTTCTAATTCTGTATGTAGTTACATTCACGGTGGGCCATTGGGGGAAAAAAAAAAGGACAAACAGAATTAAAATAGAATAAATTACCTATAATCATACCACCCCAGTGGTCACCGCTATAAACATTTTGGTATATCATCCAAATTCAATTTTTTTTTAAATTTTGGAAAATGGACTCATGATTGTATACACTGTTACGATATCTTGTAAGCTGTTTCTTTCCCTTAACTATGCATTTACATGGCATTTATCAATCCACTTAATAGCTACACTTTTATTAATTTAAATTTTTCCCCACTAAAGACATTTGGGTTGTTTTCAGATTTTTATTGTTATAAAAGGTACCGTGATGCCTCTCTGTATGGGGTGTTGTTTCATGTGTGACACACACACACTCACCCATGTAAATATTTATTTGTTTTCATTACTTACCTAATTATTTGCTTAGGGCTTGTGAAATATTCCTGGGAAGGACTTTTTTTGATAGGAATTACTGGTCTGATGAATACTGGTAATTAAGACTAATTCCTAACCAGTTGCCCACCAAAAATTCCCATTTATCGTCCAGCCAGTTGCAAGTTTTCCTGTTTACCTTCGGTTCCAACCACACTTCCTTTTTGTCATTGCTATTTATCGAAGTCTGATGCACATACAGAAGATTGCACAGATTGTAAGCCCTCGTGGTGGACTGAAGCCACCGGCGTCTGCCATGCTGGTACAGCCGGCTTTCACTACCTTCTACTTTCTTGGGTCTTCTTTCAAAAACTGGTTTCCTTGAAAAGTCGATTAGTCCTGGTTAACCCTTGGCTGCCCCAGAGTCCAGAGCTTCTCTACAATTAAAGCGAACTTTTATCAACCACAGTTGATAAAAGGTGAAATGGATGAGAACCGTGACTCAGGGATTCCCACACTTAATTGCACAAGAGAATCACCAAGGGGTGCTTTAAAGAAATTCCAGTGCCTGACCCCATTCCCAGGCAGAGATTCTGATCTCTTTGGATTGGGGAGAAGGTCAGGTGTTTGTTTTAAAAGGTCCCCAGGTGATTATAATTGGTAGGTGTTGAGAACCGCTGAAATGTCTATCTCCTTGAGCGATGGATTCAATTCTACTGAACAGATACATTTTAACCTATTGGTGAAGAATGCCTCTGCCTGTTTGATGTCATGGCAGACTCCCAGTGGTGAGCCAGCGTCTTAACATTTGTCTTTTCCAACGATTGGACAGTCCTGCAGATTTTACTCTTAGAGAGTAATTCCTTATACTTACTATTTCGAGTCATGGCAGATGTAGATTATCCTAAATGGACCAGTACTTTAGCTGGTCAGTACTTAACACCCAAATATGATTGAGCTAGGAGAGGGGTTGTGGGAATGGAAGAAGAGCAGTGCACACCTTCCCAAGCTGAGGAGTAGAATGAGGAGAACTGGAGGTGCAGAAGCAGACAAATTTCAGGTGTAAACTTGCTTTAGGTCCCAAGGACATGCACGGCTTTTGGACTCTGGTTCTGCCCCTGTGTGCTTTAGTCAACAGCCTAAGTCTCACAAGGGAGAAATCTAGAAGACTTAAGTTAAGAAGTGCAGCCCCCTCTGCAGGTCAGTGGCTAAATCTCAAATAACTTGAGCAAGAAAGCATATAGTGTATTGGATTATAACCCAACATACTAAATAAGTACCCTTGTGTCCTTCCTGATATAAACACATGTTTGGAGAAAGAAATAAAATATGGAAGAATAAACAGATCTCCTATATGGGAGATTTCTAAATACTTTAGGTAGATATTCTCCACTCCTTAAGTGTTAGCTGCGTGTAGTGACTTTTTTCCGAATAGTATGGAAAAGGGGGCATGTGGATGTTCTAGAGCAGAAGTCTGGCAAACACTGCCTCAGCCAGGTGATCAAGGTTAATACCATCATCGTTAACCATGTACCCTTGAAATGATGTGTTAAGAATAGCAACTTCACACCTTGTCTTCCCTCCTAAAACTTCCGAATTCCAATCTCACCGTGAGAAAAGCATCAGACAAACCCAAATGGAAAGACATCATACACAACAGGTGCTATTGTGTGACAGGTGCGACTCAAAATTGTCAAGGTCAGCGAGGACAAAGCAAGTCTGAGAACCTGTGACAGGGCGTCCCAAGGAGACAAGACAACTCCTTATGTAATGTGGTACCTGGATGTGTTCTCGGAACAGGAAAAGGACATTAGGTTCAAAACTAAGGACATCTGAATCCTGCGTGGACTTTAGTTAATAACATGTCTGTCAGTTGTAAGAGAGGTACTGCAATGCAGTAAAA